GCCCCTAGAGCATCTCTGTGGCCTCCTCTGGACTCAGGGCGCAGCCCATCCATCCAATCCCTGTCTCTCCAGCTCAGCTCTGGGATTTTCTTGGGATACACCTCAGGTGGACTTTGCACAAGTCCAGGTTGATGACATCATCAGCACCCAAAGAGACCCTGAGCTCCAGCGAGGCTGTCACCAACAACCGCCTGGTGTTCCACCTGCCCAGTTTCCAGGAGGATTTGCTCCGTGCTCCTTCCGAGTGTTCCTGATGCCTCTGTTCTGTTCCCCTTCTCCTGTCCCTGGGAGCATCCCTGTGGCTCAACTTCCTCCAGGTTTCACCCCAAACAGGTTTGGAGCCCCAAAACCCACCCTCAAGGAGTTCGGGGGGCAGAGACCCCCCTGGTGCCCCCTCATGCCGTGTGAGTGGGGCCGGCGCCTGCGGCATCAGTCCCCGGCCATGTGGCCATTCCGGCTTCCGGTGGCAGCGGTGGCGGCCCCGGCGGGGGCCCTGGTGGGGGCCCAGGGTGGGAAGTGGCAGCATGGCGCTCCAGGAGGGTGCGGTGGGAGAAGCCCTTGGTGCAGAGGCGGCACTGGAAGCGCTCGGGGCGGTGGGTTCGCATGTGGACGTTGAGGGAGCTCTTCTGGGTGAAGCGTTTGCAGCAGACGCCGCACTGGAAGGCGCGGACGCCCGTGTGGGTCACCATGTGCTTCAGCAGGTAATCACGAAGCGAGAAGGAGCGCCAGCAGATGGAGCACTGGTGGGGCTTCTCACCTGCCAAAAGGGGCAACGTGGGTCAATATGGGGCAGGTCTACGTGAGTGAACATGGGTCAGTGAAACAACATGGGTCACCGTGGCTTAGCACGGGTCAGCATGAGTCAGTGTGGGTCAGCACAGGTCAACATGGGTCAACACAGCTCAGCACGGAGTCAACACGGGTCAACATGAGTCAACGACAGGTCAACATGGGTCAACGTGGGATCAACATGGGTCAACATGAGTCAACAACAGGTCAACATGGGTCAACGTGGGGTCAACATGAGTCAACAACAGGTCAGCATGGGTCAACGTGGGGTCAACATGGGTCAACGTGGGATCAACATGGGTCAACATGAGTCAACAACAGGTCAACATGGGTCAACGTGGGATCAACATGGGTCAACATGAGTTAACAACAGGTCAACATGGGTCAACGTGGGATCAACATGGGTCAACATGAGTCAACAACACGTCAACATGGGTCAACGTGGGGTCAACATGAGTCAACACGGGTCAACACAGGCCTGCATGAGTCACCGCAGGGTCAACATAAGTCAACATGGATCAACACAGGTCAACATGGGTCAACACAGGTCAGTGTGAGTCAGCTCAGGTCAACGTGGATCAGCACAGGTCAACACGGGTCAACACAGGCCAACGTTGGTCAGCACAGACCACTGTGGGTCAAGAGCAATGTGCGTCCACACGTCAACCACAGATTGCAACGAGTCAACACGGATCCTCCAAGGGCACCACCCCCTCCGCCCTACACTCCCTGTCCCCGTTGTGTCCCCTCCGCGTCCCCCCACGTCCCCCCGCTCTCACCCGAGTGGATGAACATGTGCTTGGTGTAGTTCTTGCGGGAGCTGAAACTCTTCTGGCAGTGTCCGCACTGGTAGGGGGGCTGGGGGCCGCGAGGGGGCCCCACTGGGAGCACAGTGGGCACCGGGGGGGCTCCCCCTGCCTCCGCCCCGCCCTCGTAGGGTGGCGGCAATGCTGGGGGTGCCCCGAACCCAAACCCATCCCTGCCCGGTGCCTCCCGCCCACGCTCGGCCCCAAACGCGCCGCTGCCATCATCTCCGGCCCAGGGCGCCAGGAACGTGTCCGGGAACGCCTCGGGGGCACCGAAAAATGGCGGGTCTGGCGCCGGGAAAGCTGGGAGGGCCGCACCGGGCAGGGCAATGCCCTCCTGGGTGCCGCCATCTTCATCTCCCTCTTCCTCCTTCGCCTCCTCCTCCTCCTTGAGCGAGGGCGCGAGGCGCAGCGGCTGCCGCTGCTTCCGGCTGTGGCCGCTCGGCACCGGCTCCAAGAGGTTGTCCGGCTCCAGCGATGGCCCCAGCGGCGGTTTCTGGGCCGGGGGCATCGCGGCAGGGCCACGGCTCTGCGAGATGATCTGGGTGCACTCGTCGATGACCGTCTTGATCTGCAGCACCGAGGCAGCGGTGAGGATGTGCAGCGCCTCCGACTGTGCCACCACCAGGCTGCCGCTGTACAGGAACTCCACCAGCTGCCGCACGGCCGCCGACGGCACCACGGGCGGCACCTCAATGGCCGAGTGGCCCAGCAGCAGCTTGTCGTGGAAGAAGGGGCTGCCCGCGGCCAGCACGCAGCGGTGGGCGCGCAGCGAGGCCTCGCGAATGCGCACGGTGACGTCGCAGAACTGCCCCGCCACTCGCTGCCCGTTGAGCGTCTCCAGCAGCGAGCGGCTGAAGTTCTGCAGGTGGATGTAGTGAACGGCCTCCGGCATTTCCTCGGGCACCCCGGGGGGGACAGGGGGACACGGGAAACACTGACGGAGGGGACACAGGGATGGAGGGGACAGTGGGGACACGGGGACAGTGACGAGGCTGGCGGTACCTGGGGAAGGAGATACAGAGGTTGGGGACATTCTCCAGGGGGTCACCGCGGGTTGAGGACATCCCGTGTGACGTCACCGGGTGCCGCGGACAGCGCCGATGACGTCACGGGGCGGCCGAGAGCACCCCGCGCGATGTCACCGACCTGTCGCGACACGGAAACCCTCCAGGACCTTCCAGGAACTACCGGGAACTACCCGGGACCCCCTAAATCGGCCCCTTTCCCCCCCCCGCTCACCGTACTCCTGCCGCCACCACTTCTTGACGTCACTTCCGCCGGACCGGACCGGAAGTGAGTGCTGACGACAGAGAGGGGACGGGAGCGGCCGCGGGGCCCAAGCAGCACCCCCTGGCGGGCGGGAGGATTCCGCGGCATCCACGGAGACCCCCAGGACCAGGACCCCCCGGGGACCCTCACAGGGCTGGAGACTCCCATAGACCCCAACAAGAACCGCCATAAACCCCCTAGGGACCCCCATACACCCCCCAGGGATCCCCATAGACCCCCTAGGGCCAAACTGACCCACATTGACCATTGTCGATCCATGTTGACCCACGTTCATCCATCCGTGTTGGCCCATGTCAATCCATGCTAACCCATGTTGGCCCGTGTTGGCTCATGTCGATCCATGCTGACCCGTGTTGACCCATGTTGGCCCGTGTTGGCTCATGTCAATCCATGCTGACCCGTGTTGACCCACACTGGTCCCTGTGACTCTGCTCTGCTCCAAGTCAACCCTTGTAGGCCGCCCCATGTCCCTCTATGTTAACCCGTGTCACCTCACGTCACCCGTGTCACCCCGTGTCACCCATGTCTCTCATGTTGCCCCCACTGGGGACAGTCCCTGGTGTGCCCCCCCCCCAACCCCCTCTCGACCCCCGTCCCCTCTGACCCCTCCCCCGTGCCCTCCCCTCCCCATGACGTCACTCCCACACCGTGACGTCAACACTGCTCCCACCCCTGGGCGAGGGCGGGAGATGACACCCAAATTCCGGGATGCCCTGAAACCTGTGTCCCCTGAGGCAGGGGTGACGCCCTGGGGTGACACCCGAATTCCAGGGTGTCCCGGGACACCTGTGTCCCCCGGGTGAGGACAGAGGGGACACCCAGGGGTGACACGCGAATTCCAGTCCTGGCACAACTGTGCCCCCCAGGTGAGGACACGGGTGACACAGGAGGTGCCACCCAAATCCGGGGTGCCCCGAGCCCCCGGTGCCCCCCGGGTGAGGACAGAGGTGACACCCTGGGGTATCCCGATGTCCCCCGGGCAGGGCGGGGGTGGCCCCGGGAGCCGCTGGAGCCGAAGGGCCCCGCCCGGGAGATGCCCGAGGGGGCGGGCGGGGGTTAGGGGTTAGGGGGGCGGGCTCTGTGTCCCCGCGTCCCCCCCCCGTGGGACTGGCCCTGGGGGAGGGCGGAGGTGCCACTCGCGGGTCCGTCCCGTGCCCGCGGCGGGGGCGGCACAGGCAGAACCCGGACCTGGACAGGTGAGGGGGGACAGGGGGACCGGGGCCCCCCAGGGTGGGGAGGGGACCCCAAAACCAGAGGAGCTGGGACCCCCCAGGGTGGTCAGGAGGTCCCCAGGGGTCCGGACCTTCCTCACCTGCCCCCACCCCCAAAAGAAACCCAGAGCTGTCGTGGGGTCCCCGCCCCGAGCTGCGGCTGCTTTGTGTGTGTGTGTGTGTGATGTTATTGTAGGGTCTCCCAGGGGTCTGTGTTGTTCCAGAGCCTCCCCCCGCCATGGTGGACCCGGGGGACAGGGAGCAGCGCAGTCCCCCCAGGATGGCACAGGTGAGTGGGGGGACCCCCGAGGGGTGTGGGGCACAGGGGGAAACGGGGGGAGGGAAATGAGGAAAGGGGGGGACACAGGGATGGGGGGACCCTCAGGAGATGGGGGGGACCCCCAGGAGTAGAGACACAGAGATGGGGGGGACATGGGGAAATGGAGGAACCCCCAGGGGATGGGGGGTACCCCCAGTTAATGAGTGGGGGGACACAGGGATGGGGAGGACCCCCAGGTTATGGGGTTGGATCCCAGGTGGGGAGACACAGGGATGGGGGAGACCCCCTAAGTGATGGGTGACCCTCTGGTACCCTGGGAGAGCCCCAACCTCAATTTGGGGGTCCCAGGGGGTGGAGGAGGGGGGGATTCCAAGCATTTGGAGTCTCCCCGCCGCCCCCTCCCTTGGCCGGAGCCCCCTCTGCCCCCCTCGGGGCCCCCCTGGCCCCCCGCCAACCCCAGGCTGGAATTGGGACACAGGGCGGGGACAGCGAAACGGGGCCCTGGGCGCCCCTCCTCCACCCCGTGGGAACTGGCCCATCCCTCCCGACCCCCTCGGACCCCCCCTCGGGGACCCAGGAGTGACCTCCCACCCCCGCCAAGGTTTGAGCCCCTTGCCCACCCTAGGAGGGACTGCCGGGGGTCCTGGGACCACCCCCTCCAGGCACCTGGGGCCCCCCAGATTTTGGCCCCCTGTGGACCCCTGGGAACCCCCAAATCCCTGGAACCCCCCAAAACCCTCGGACCCCCCTGGACTTTGGGACCCCCCAGATTGTGGTTCCGTCCCCAATATCCCCCCATACTTTCCCCAGCACCGGCGGGACCTGGAGGAGGAGCTGCGGGACCTCAGCAACCAGGTGGGAGGGGCTTGGGACTGTCAATCACATTGGTGGGAAGGGCTTGGGCTTGTCAATCACCCTGATGGGTGGAGCAATGAGCTGTCAATCACCCTGGGGGCGGGACAATGCACTGTCCATCACCCAGATAGGGGTGTGGTCTGTCCTACGTGAACTGTCAATCATGGCCTTCCCCCATCAGGTGGCGGTGCTGGGGCGGAGCCTGGCAGCAGAGAGAGGGCGTGGCCTGGCGGAGGGTGGAGCCCTGCGTGCGCTGGAGATCGCGGTGGGCGGGGCCCAGGCCCGGATGGGTGGGGCCTGCAGGGCCAGGGATCGGGCCAATGAGAGACTGCGGCTGCAACAGGTGAGCAAGGATGGGGAGGGGGTGGGGCCTATGACAGGTGTGGCTGGGGGTGGGGCTAAAAGGGCATGGCCTGGGGGTTGCTTGTGAAATGGGGTGGGACTTAGAAAAGTAGGTGAGGCTTTATGCAAGGTGGGTGTGCCCAGGGGAAGGGCCCTAAGGAGGTGGAGCCTCTGGAAGGGCGTGGCTGAATTAGGGGTAAATGGGCTGTGCCTGGGAGGGGAGGAGCCTATGAGAGGGTGGAGGCATGGCTGTGGCTGGGCTAAAAGGGGGAGCAGTGGGACAGAGTGTGGCCTGTCCCTGACCTGGCCCCACCTGCAGGAGGCGGGGCAGCTGCTGTGGGCGGAGCTCCAGGCTGCCCGCACTGCCCTTGCAGGGGCGGAGCTTCGTGCACAGGAGGCGGAGTCACAGTGCCGCGAACGGGGCCTGGAGCTTCAGCGTCTGAGAGAGGTGGGTGGGGCCAAGGGGAAAGGGTGGGACTAATGAAAAATGGGGTGGGGCTGTTACAGTCAGGGGTGGGGCCATGGACCAATGGGTGGGGCTAAATGGCAAAGGGGCGGGGCTATAAAGCAATGGGCAGGGCTAAAGGGCACTGGGGCATGGCTGAGGCCCAATGGGTGGGGCTAAGGACCAATGGGCGGGGCTATATCAGCCTGTGGACACTGCTGGGGTGGTGGACATGTCCCCGGCGGGCACCCCATGCCAGTCCTACCCCCAGGCTGTGGAGGAGGCCCGGCAGTGCCGGCACCTGGCGGAGCAGGAGCGGGACCGAGTGGCGTCTCAGGTGGGACACATCCCCCAGCACAGGTAAGCGAGAACACGCCCCTCCCTGGACACACCCCTTCCCTGGACACGCCCACTGTGTGTCCCCTACAGCCCCTCCACGTGTCCCTTCCAGCCCCCAGTGTGTCCCCCACATCCCATATCCCCCCCCTCCCCCATCCATCCCCTATACCCTCCCACAACCCCCTGTATGTACCCCCACATAGCCTCCCCCCCACTGACCCCGGGGGGCTGCAGGCAGCGCTGGAGGAGCTGCGGGAGCACAACCAGGGGCTGCGAGACCACCTGGGCCAGCGGCTGGGACAGGTGGGCACCTGTGGGGCACCTGTGGGGACCTGTGGGGACATGGGGGGGGTTATGAGGGGATATGGGGGATATGGGATGCGGGGATATGAGATATAGGATGTGGGATATGGAGGATATAGGGTACAGGATATGGGATATGTGGGTGCTGAGCTCACCTGAGGGTGCTGTGCTCTCACCTGTTCCCCCCATCTCACCTGCCCAGGTGCAGGAGCTGCGCCAGGAGCTGTCCCTCGTGGGGCAGCGGGCGAAGGAGGCCCAGGATGCCCAGGCCCGCCTGGCGCGGGAGCAGCGGGAGCTGCGGGAGAGACTCCTGCGGCCGCCGGTGCCCCCCGCGCCCCCCGAGGCCACCCTGAGGAGCCGCTGCCTCCACCTGCAGGAGCTGCTGCGCAGGGAGGAGGGGTGAGAGGGGGCTTGGGGGGCACCCACATGGCCTCAGGGTGTCTTCAAAGTGCATTTGGGTGGTCCTGGGTGGTCCCAGGGGGGACCCCAGCTGGTCCCAGGGTGAGTGTCACTGGCTCTGGGTCTGGGGGTGACACTGCATGACATTTGGTGTCCCTGTGTGTCCCCAGGACCCGTCTGTCCCTGTTGCGGGCCGCGCGTGTCACCAGCCGGCGCCTGCGTGCTCTGGTGGCTGAGGTGGAGGAGCAGCGGTTGCGGGGAGAAAGATATCGTCTGCAGGTGGGGGGCACCTGGCACCTGTGTCACCTG